GCGGCCAACACTTGCAGCATTCGCTGCAAGTCTTTGTGGAGCCAGGGCCCTGTGGGTTCGGTGGTGAGGGTCGTCACACTCAGAAAACACTATCAATCACGCCTGTCCTTTGTAATTTGCAACTTTGGTGTGAACTGGATGACGTTGGCTCAAAACGGAACTTTGAAAAGCAATGCGTGCCCCGTTTCAGGTGGTTCTCCTGACTCTCGGACGATGCCCCACATTTGCGCTGCTCACGGGCGCGCTCGATGGCCGAGGTGGTGCACGGTTTTGGTCGAGGGACCAGGTGAAGGGAAAGGGTTGCAGAAGTAGCAAGACCATTCATTTTGGCAACTTTTTTTAAAGCCCGCTCCTACTATATAAACTTAATTAAGTAGGGGACAACGCTCCTAGCTACTAGTTAGCTTCTAGGTAGGACGCAGGATAGCTCACACACTAATGATTTGGTTTCTAGATTTTTCGGGAAACTTAACTTACTCAACCAAGCCGCATCATTGTTACCTTTGAGATTTACATAATAGGGCATGTCAGGTATGTGTCGACGGGTTCAGAAAGTCAGGAAGTATCAAGCAGTTTTCCATCCAAGAAAGGCCCTACCCATTAAAGAGGGCTCAACTGTTGTTGTGAGTACTGTACCATACTATACCACAGGGACAAAGGATGCTTTGATAGCTGGACTGACCTGCAGGTAAGGTGCAGATGTCCACAGATACTCGAGCTCGTGAGCTCAGCGGGATTTCTGTTTAATCACGGTTGCTATTGTAGTTGGCAAAGGCTGCATGGTATCTTCCTGCCTCTACTGAGATAGCTTCACGGTTTCGATGATATTGTTTTGTGAGGCCCCTCGCTTTCTATCTACTTTGGTGTGCAACTCTGCAGTACAGACCTTGCGAACCCTCCAATCGATTGACTTGAGGTGGCCACTCGTGCATACTACACCACAGCTCCCGTGGCAGAGCCTCCTGAGGACAGCATGCACAGCTTTTTGAGACTGTAACGAAAAGAATGGATCACTAGTTGGAACTCGGTGTCTTTGTACAAGGCAAGTGACTCTGTTGTATTTGTTTGTTCACATAGACATACACTTATAATATAGATAATATGCACATAGATACCTTGCAGAAGCCAAACTATCAAATCTACTTATCCAGTGACAGAACAGAAGGATCCGGAGCATTGATGACGATGCTCCCTAGAGATATCGTCCCAGCCCTCGAGCCCTCGATGTTCGATGACTGTAAATGTTGGGATGCATCGGTGTAAGAACATGTGTGTGTGTGTGTGCGCCGTGTGTGCATCATGTATATATATACTATATACAGTATACATACATAATACATACATATCCACCTAATATACATACATAATACATGCATATCCACCTATATAACAGAACATGTTCAATGTCGTGCAGACACACCTTGCACGCGAGGACCTGATGACCATCAAGCAGTCACTTTCTACAGTTGGGAAAGGTCGTCACGAAACGGGGCTTCACGCAGTTTACTTGGCACCATGAATGAATCGAATTGGGGTCCTGTCAAAGGCATCTGCAAACTGTCCAGCTACCATGCTCATCCAAATAGGCCAGGCACCGGCCAGATAAAACCACCTAGACAAAGGCGATCTTGGACCATTGATTTGGCAGCTATGCCGAAGGTGGTCAGCAGCCACGCCTCAAAAACTGTAGACTGTAGACAAATGTGGGCATATCTCAGAACTTCTGTGAGATACAGATACGTAGACATTTCTTTGGTTGGCTGATTGATTTTAGCTTATTGCCTGAGAGCTGCAGTTTGTTGCGAAAAAAGCATGGGCACTTAGATAAGAAGTTACAGGACACCTGTTGATAGTAACTTTCAAGCACAGATTGCTACGAGAGATGACAAAAGTATTTATATAGATCAATTTGTACATATGATCCACTGAAAGGCTGTGATCCAATCAAATACTACTAGGAACAAGAAGCTACTAGGAGCAAAGGGCATCGCTACTAGGAACAAGGACGCTACTAGGGGCTCCTGGCCTTACTACTAGGAGCAAGGACGCTACTAGGAAAAAAAGTAAGGAACCAAAATCCTCTTGGCATGACCCTCAAGATCGCTCAAGCATGAGCACACTCAGGCGACACTTGGTCCCATCAGCAGAGCATTTGGGCTATGCAGTGGTCACTTGACTTGTTACTAGAAGCGATGCACTTGTTTCTAATAGCTTCTTGTTACTACTATGTAGTAAGGCACTTGTTACTAGAAGCGATGCACTTGTTCCTAGTAGCGTGTCTTTACTGTACCTGAATATGAGCATGGCTTCCTCCAAAGCAAGATTAGAGCACGCTGCTTGGTTGAATGGAAGCGGAAGTGTCAGGTTGAATACAGCGGACGCCAACACATGGTGGTTGAGGGGGGGCATGTATGAGACCTACTTCATCCGGGCTGTCTCGGGTTCAAAGGCGCTAAATCGTGTTTCTACTTTAGGTGAGTTGAGATGAATTCAGTGTATCTTTTACGTTGAATTCAAGCAGAAACTTGACAAGGACGAGGACGAGGACTCGCATGTATATTTGTTGTGATTCGTATTTTTCTTAATACAGATGGAAGATGAATGCTACTGTGTGCATGTTTTTGCAAAATTGCTTTGTTGAATGTATGACATAAAGATAATATCGCTTAATTAGACAGGAATTACACGTAGGGATATGATATGTCCCATGCCCAACAGCTTACGGCTTGTGGACCGAGCAGATCCCACACAGTTTTCTGAGTCACAGGTGCGGTTGAATCGCGTCCTCCTTCTGAAGCAGAAAAGTGGGGACACGTGGCTTTGAAGCATACAGGCATTCAACAAGTCCTTGAGGCGTACATGTGAGTCGCAGAGTAAGTAGAACCACATTCGCCAATGTTGAATCAGTGTGAAAGGCATGATAACAAGCTGCATCTCAGTACTCAAAGGGCTTTGCACTATTGAAGCGGATTGATTCAGGTTGTACAATGTTGTACAATCTAAAATCCAACCAGTTTGCCTGGAGAAAGGTGTGGCTATTGTTGTACACTTTGGCAAGGACGACAGAGTGTCCTCCCTTCATAGCATTGGAGTTGTTCCACTCGGACTCGCAGCGCTGCGGAAACTTCCTAGGTTTCACTCAAACACCTGCAGACTTTAGGCTGCGGAATTGAACTGCAAATCTGACATAATAGTAGAGGAAGGTGCCCTTTGCGCTTGCTTTGGAGTCTCATTCATGTATATATAATTACATGAACTTGCCCAGCAACATTAAACGTATCTATATAGTCGACAGACAAATTGTTGCATAAATTTACTATACACTAGATTCTGTGCAACCGACTGACTGGATTCTGTGCTTTTGGTTGCGAAACTGCGAGGTTATGAAGGCATTGAGACATGTTGATATTGCATGGATAAGATTACAAGATTTCCTTTTGTCGAACTTTGGACCCATTTCTTGAATAGAGATAGAGATCGACCACCCCGGTTGCAAGAAACTAGAGCTGCTTGCTATTGCTTTGGGCCAGCATGCTAGTTTGCCAATCGTTTGATCAAACAGTGTTTTATGCTAGAACTTTGCCACCACTTGTTCTGTAGACGCAAGGCAGCTTTTCAACCACAATGCTATTACAAACATGTTTTTGAGCCAAAACAACTAGGATAACTTTCTTCGTTTGGATTAGAATGATGCTGTGATTGAAACAGCTTCCATTGGTTGAGGTTTGAAGTGAGTGTGGGGCAGCCGCTGGTTGATGGAGCTTATGTTGAGGCTGCGGCACAGGGGGGAGAGGGTGTTCAGGTAGGGGGTGCACTTCATGTTTACGTGTCTTCAATCAAGGACGCCCGCCTACCTACCTACCTACCTACCTCGGCAATCTTTGTTGCCATCACCGTGCAGATTACCATTCTCGAACACCTCAAGGGCGAGGATCAGATCGTCTTCAAACACAAGAAAAAGATGCTTGGTTTGGTTGAAGATACTCGAGACCGACAAACTGCACATCAGAATTTCAATTCTTGCGATCCACATTAGAGAGTTTTGATATGTTTTGATTAGAACATATATCATTGAGTTCAAGTTTCATGCATGGCTGGTGGGGAGAGCTGGCTTATGAACCGGAGAAGCTTGCTGTTGGTTTGGTTCATCAAAGCTCTTGTCTCGTTCGACGCTCAGGAAACACTACATGAAGCGCTGGATTGTAAATCAAAAGCTCACACGCTTCCGGGTGGATAGGCCGGATGGCTCCTTCTGTATTTTTGGTTTGTTCATAGATGTTCACAAATACAACTTCTGAACAACTAGCAAGAAACTGCTCCTTTCTGAACCGTCATGAGTCCTGGCTTTTTGACGCTGCTTTGCACCACAGCCGTGGCGACTCGTGTGCATAAGCAACTTTCATTTTACGTTTCACGCAGAGGTATCATGAGGTTGTCGGCTACAGATGTTCAGTCAGTCTACCCAGTACTGTTACAGTATACAGTATACATATTATTAATATATGCAATTGTGAATGATTTCTACAAAATGTATGCATATATAATATGCCTCTTGAAAGGGCGATGGAGAAATATGCATATTATGTTTATTTTAATACATAAATATATATATACATACACCTAGTGTACTTCCTTTTTGGTATATTACCATACTACAGTCCAATGGATTCTTCGAGCTTTTGCCGCCAGGATTGTGCTGGGATCGGGTGATGAGCCAGTGACGGGAAGGGCACCATATCCCTTGGGCCCCGCAGCACCCTAGTCAGAATAGGCCTCAAGGCAAAACTCGCAGACTCTGTTTGATCAAGCAGCATAAACAGCTACAAAAGCCAAGGTGTTCAAAGAGTAATGTTCTCCCAAAGATCGTTGAGTGTCCTGTAAAAGAGGCCAAAGGCCAAATCCGTTCGCAAGAGAAGCGGAAGAAAGGACGCGCGCATGTTTGCTTCGCAAATGATGGACATGCCACGGTGCCACTCGTTCTTGCTCCTTTTGAATGGCAGGTTCTCGCTCGCAAGTGTTGAACTCTTCTTCAGCAGCTTCCCAGCATTGGAACTGTTCTGTTTATAATGGCTGGAGGGCAAGTGCCCAATATCGCCGAACTCGACGGCTTTGTTTTAATTTCTCAACATGGTCTTTGCATCGTTTCGTCCTGGAGTTGCACCCTTCGTACAGGCTGGAGTTTCGGGTGGTGTGACTTGTTGGACGGAGGATGACGGAGGTTTCAAGCCACAAAAACCTGTTTCGCTAAGGCAACACTACCTTCACGGCCTGTATCTCAGAGCGAATTTGGATGTGTTTGGACTTCTCCTACGGGGGGTAGCTACCGGTACCGGCTGCTCATGACTGCCAGGAGATATGCTATGCCTCGCCCACGATCTGGTATTCCCTTTGCGTTAGCAACTTAGTTCATGGACACCAAGTGACACCAGTCTCAATTCGGGTATTGTGATGTATTGTGAGGAGGATTGAACTTTGTGGAGTCGGTCGTAATTTGAGCAAGAGGATTTGTTATGATTTGTTGCAAGATGGCAGAGCCTCAGCGGGAGGAGGCTTTAGATGGCTTTTGTACTCGTAGTATCTCCGATTCCTGAACCACTGAGGCTGAAGGAACCCTATCCAGAAGCACCGAGGTGGGATGCTCAAGTGAGACGTGTGGCCAAGAGTTGCTTGTGGCAGGCCAATTTTGAGCATAGACATGTGATGCAATGTTGCATCATTTGTTTGTGTCCATTTTTTGTAAACGCTTTTATGATATTCCCTACCTCCAAAGAAGACACGGAGATGCAGACCAACGTTGCACGTTGATTTGCCAAATCATTCACTGCACAAGGAATCCATTGATTGCATCCTCTCACGAACACGTGCTTAGTTTACTGTGCTAAGCTGCTAAGGTCAGGCTATTTGTGTTCAAACATTTCTGGCATCAATGCTTTGCTGGCTTCTCGCAGAAACGTGTCGTTCTCAGACTTTGCAGATGTCACTTCAATAAAGCACCAACATTCTTCGCCATGCACACAAGAGGCCTTGTGATTGTTTGCCGAGCATCTCGCAGAGCATTCATGTATAAGTACAAGGGAATAAGATGGAACACGGAATACGTACGAACAGATGCTTGGTTGATTCTTCTCAATGACACCAAATTCGCTGAGCCCGAGGCCTTGAGTAAAAGTGGTGTTCTGGATGCAGCTTCAAAGCCTGGTGGCGCATGAGAGTATGGCGGTGGGGCACCTCCAAAGATGAGGTATCTGTGGTTTCTGCACAGATGGCGCAACGATTTTGGAAGTCAGTCTTGAAGACAAGTGTATTCGTTCATGGATTCACAACATCATTTGCTTATCAATTCATATTACATTAATATATATATATACTATCATATACTGTATATATATTATATATTACTATATATTAATATTATGAATATCCATGTCATTCATCATCACTTCCAACTGGTAGCTTTTGCCCTGGATGTGTTGAAACCGATGTACTACAGTAGTTGTTGGCCAAAGATGTGCCACGAGTAGGTGCATGACCTGTCCCGCTCAGCATAGAGCTTCATGAGTGAAAGCAACCATTGGTGCCTTGGGCTCACAACCATTTGGCTATGGCTCGAAAAGAAGAGCCACGGCAGCCACGGACCTGCAGGCTTTAGACGGGTGTTCCTTTCAACAGTGGGCTTGGCTGGTACCCGATTTTTGAGCCATACCAATTCTACTGAGAAATAGTGGAGTGTTGATCATGCTTTGGAAGCCTATGAGAGCTCAATCAACTTGCTACTCGCAGTGCTTGACAAAGCCCGTCAAGATTGCTGCGTGGCCCTAGCTTTAGCAGCATGCGGTGAAATACCGACACTTCGCCGTGACAGTGCTGGCGAATGCATCGCTGCATCGCTGGGCGCACCTGCAACCATCGAAAAGATCAACGGCGGCATCATGGGTACTGGCTGTAGAATAGACTCCAAAGTAGCTTTGTAGCTGTTGGAGGCTTCTGGATTTGTGGTATGAGTTGGTTCTGACAACTACCTTTGCTCCGATGCTCGTTGAAGTACACTCCTAGTTCCTTGAGAGTTCAAGTAAAGGCACAAAAGTTTGTCCGAGTGAGGATTGTCCACCCGGTCCCTGCTCGAATGCCCGAGGTAGGAATCAAGAGGAAGACAAACTCCCCTTTTTTTGCTTCGAGGGGAGAGGGCAATTCGATCTACCTGCAGTTGTGTGACATGAAGTGCAGTACAGGTAATCTACCTGCACCGCAGAGATGGATTGATTTTTACAGAAGGGACCCAGTGAAGTCAAAAGGGGCAAATTCGTGAAAGCAAGGAATCTGTGGCCAAGAGACTGCAGGATTTGATTTTAAATGATGTTAAGCATGCTAGTGAATTGATATCTTAAATGCAAGACACATTAAATACATTGGTTTTCTTGAAGCTGGATTTTTCTTTGGACTTGCGGACGCGCTGTGTGGTTGAGGGTAATATTCATTTTCAATATGGATGTCCTTGGCAGCAGCTTCTGGAATTGTGAGGGCACAGCAAGTTCCCAAGTTGACAGAGCAAGTGTCATTGTCATTGAAGGTTGGAGAAATTGAACTCAGGGTGACATTGGTGGGAATTAGAGTTATAGGGACTTACGGGGTAAAAATAGGGCACACGTGTTGCATATAATAGTATTTATATATACATAATATGCAGTACATGTCACATTCCACCCTAGAGAAAGCAGTTATATATACTGTATCCATGTCATGAGTTTGTATTCTGCTGCAAAGTCAGGAGTCCGGAGACTTGATTTTCCGCATGTTGAGATACGTCGTTTGCATCAAACCTGCAGCTTTGAGTCGCAAGCAGCAACAGGGTGTCGCGAACAGGGTGTCTCGGCAAAACCAAGTCGACTGACATATGAAACTCATGTTTTGGCTTTGAAGTGTCAACCTCCCACCTCCTTTTGTGTTGCTTCTGCAGATTTGAAGGTGGATGAAGGAACTACAGTGCCTTTCTCAGCTACGACATGAATATCATGGGTCAGAGCTACGATCAAGAATTGAGAGTGCAGTCATCAGCCAGAATGATCTCGAAAGGGAGATGTTCCCTCCCAACCTACAATTCGGACTCCTGTCACCTTTGCTTCCCTGAGGCTCCTAAAATTTGTGGATGCTGCAGCAGACCAAGTGCCGCCAAGTGAAAGGACATCGGATACATTATACTTCCATACATCAGAATGATGGTGCCTTCCTGCACTGGCTCACAGCTGTCGCTGATTCTTCCAAGGCAGATGATGGCGTGGTCCTGGTGATTCTCAGGTGGGTACCGTAGTCTTGTAGTCGTTTGGTCTTGTAGTAAGTCGTTTGGAAGAAGAAGGACAAGTGGCTTCACAACACTACCTGGAGTAAGTGTGGCCGTGGTGATTCAACATCCAAATTACAAGAAATGAACAGCAAAAGGAGTGTTTCGTCCCAGCTCAGGCAAGAAAATATGCAGTTTTGAGTTTGGGCGGGAGGATGTGGTACATAGTGTGGCCATGGTGTTTCACTCTTGTCCGAATGACTTTCCGCAAGCCGGGTGACTTTCCACTACTGTAGCGTGACCAATCGGCCGGGTGACTTTCTGCGACCACGGAGTGACTAAACCCGGGCCCCAGAACTTGTAGCTTGCAGCCCAACAGCTTTGGAAGCACCATGAAGCAGGGACATCAACTTCAACTGTTGAACTGTTGAAGAGATCGGCGCTCCTGAATGACATGCTGCTTCGAGGTGCTTGGGCACCACCGCTTTGGCACGGCACACAGAGTGATGAGAGACTTCGTACCATGGTTCAAGCCAATTTTTGGAAACTGTTGAAACGTTCACGGTCTTTGCTGACAAAGATTTGCAAAGGTAGAACACAGTGGGGATTCATTCTACAAATTTGAAGTGATATACTCCTGTTGCATTGAGGGTGCTATTCATGTGAGAGTTGCCTCTTCAGCAGATAGGCCTTGATGCTGTTTGTCAGGTTCGACTTGCCTCCACCTCTGCCTTCATGTCCGGGCTCCAAACAAACACTTTGCCGCTGAAGGTGTTCATGCAACCATAATTATACAACATTATGTATGTTAATGTGTATGTGGCCATTTTGAGGCCTAGTTTTGTTTGCAGCACTCGAACATGAATGCATTACCGCATAGCTCTCCGTATAATCAATGTGTGGCTATGGTTCCAAGAAAGGAAGCCAGAGGCAAAAAGTTTTGGTACTAGCTTCATTTTGCCGTTTCTGCCAAGTCCACACGTATAGTGTAGTACGTTGCCCAATCGCTTACGTTACCTTCTAGCGATGTGCAGGTTCGTGCAACGTTATACATTCATTTCATTTGGGCTCATTTTGGACTAAAGGCACCATGAAAAAGATACCTCCAGAGTTCTGTCAGAATTAGAAGCAGACTTATGTGAAGAACTCATGACTTTGTCCCAAAAAAAATGCTGGACAAGGATTTGTGAGTGCAAGCATTTGCGTTACGCATGTTCCTACTACTTGGACCTGCACTAGGAAGAGAAATGGATCCAAACACATTTGACTGTGTAGTTGAATCAAAGCATTTGAATGTTGAATGGGTTATATAGTTATATACGGGTTATAGTTAGAAGATGTTAGAAGCCAAGAGTATGTTATAGTAAATGTTACAGTTCTAGTCAACGTTTGCTCCTTTGAGAGGCCTAGAACAGGGGGTCTCCCATGGTCTCCCTATTCTCATGCACACCTAGATCTTCACGCCTAGAAGACGGAAGACCAACAGTTTTACATCGTCAGACGCTCAGTTTGCCTTTGCAAAGAGGATGTGAACTGTTCTAGGGCCTAGGGAAGAACTCAATCGGAAGGCTGACGACTTCTTCATTCCTTCATTTCTGATACTGTTCGCTGAGCTGCATTTCATTCAACTCATTGATATTGATTGTTATTTGCGAAGCCAGCGCCTCCGTTTTATTTCTTTTTCTTTTGTTTTTTTTCGGACGAGATGTGGAATGGAAGGTGTAGAAAAACTTCAGGCTTGTGCAGTCCACTTGCGACTTTGGTGGAAAACCACTTAGGACGCTGCACTTGGCATGGTGGAACAAGACCAAACATAATAAAGGCAGGTTTTCAGTCACAATCCTACTGTTCAGTTCCTCGTCTACTTGCGACTTGGTTCATTTCCTGCTCGAGTTCAGCAAGATGGAAGATTGGGTTTGGCCATTTCCGGCCACTTGCAGGTCCATACGCATTCAAGACTACAGTAGCACTAATTTGTCAAGAAACAAAGGTTTGGCCTAATCTTGCGTATGTGTTGCATCGTTTGTCCTCAATGACAAACTGAGGCTACGTGTCAGAGTTATTAGCCTTCGCATGTGGAGGCAAGAACCAAACATCAAGAAATGTTGGAGCGACATGGTGAATATGGATGGAAGATTTCTATATTGTACAAAGCAGCGGTGCACTAGCTGCACCGCACCATGATTTCTTGCCATTATCCGTACAGACACTCACCGTACTCCAAAAGATTGTAGAAGTGGAAGCGTAGATCAGCAAAGCATGTTTTTGGGATAGATTGCAAAGAAATCTTGAAGTCATTTTCTTTGCTTCGTTGCTTCTTTGCTTCGTCTTCGGCACTTTGCAGCTCCAGCACTTGAGAAAGGCAGTTCCAAACTCAGAGTTGCAGCCTTTTCTGGGATGGTGATGTCCAGCCTGTTGGGTCCATGGGTTTCTACAGAGCTGGCGATTTGGGAAACCGTGTGATGCCTTTGGCAGATCAGAAGAACGCACACATTTGCAGCATATTCACCCAAACAACGGTTTCAACGCCTAGTATGTGCTGCAGACGTCTTATATAGTCTTTTGTATAACTTATATAACTGATGATGCAACCAGAACCGGCCACTATTCGCTATCCAGGTTCAGTCCAAATGACATATCTGTTGGAATTGTGCAGGGTCGACATCAAAGCTAGGAGCTCGGTACTGTGCACTGAACCTAGTAGCGTCCTCTGGTTACTAGTAGTAAGGCCAGGAGCGCCCCTAGTAACTAGTAGCGTCCTTGCTCCTAGTAGCGATGCCCTTTGTTCCTAGTAGGTCCTAGTAGCGTCCTGTAGAACAGGTGGAATTGAGGCGCTCGTGAAATGAGGTTTGCCCTCGGCTGCACCGCTCCGCGCGCTTTGTGCTGCGGGCAATGGCAACGGGCACTGTGAGGTGTTATGTTCTTGATCTTACAGCGAGGGATTGTCAGCTATTTTTGTGTTTGGCAATGTTTAATATGGCGCAGCGTTTGACCCCAGCATTGTGCATGCACTTAAAGCAGCACCCACGAGAAGATCCGCATAGAGATCATTAAGCTTTTTCTTTTGGCACTTGTTAGCACTTGCGCAGGTCTTGGCACTTGCCTTGCACTTGGCCAACTCTCCGAGCGAAGGCGCAAGCAAGGAATGTCACAGGGAGACTTACTTCGATCAGCCGATCAGTGTCTATTGAGGAGTGTGTGTGTATATATATGTTTTACATTTAATTATTATATATATACATATGTCGGACAACATATCTTCTGTTTTAGAAAGACGTGTTTTTTGTTTTATGTTGTTTTTTTTTTTGGGGGGGGAGGCCGCTAGTAGGGGTAGCTAGTAGTAGCTAGAGGTAGCTACTAATTATGGACGCAGGATAGCTCACGCTGCTTCAAGGAAGCTCCTCCGGCCGCCCTAAACGCGGCGGGGGAAGCTTCCTTGGAGAAGCGCTTGCACTAATGATGTGGTTCCTAGATTTTTGGGGAAACTTAAAAATTCCTTGATCCCACTGGTAGATCACTTACTCAACCACTGCTATAGTTGTGGCTCCTGCTGTTGCAGCTGCGTTGACTCATCCGACTATGGTCCATTATAGATAGACCACTATTATGGATTTACCATTATATGTTTTGCTAATGTTACTAATGTGTGCTTATTTCTTTTGCGCTTCAAGATGACTGGACTTGATAATGCAAAAGCTGCTACTGCTGCTGTTAGTCCTAGCACATGCGGCGTTTACGACTGTCGCGTTTGCAAATTTTCAAGCAAGGGGTCTCAGTGTCAGTGATTCTGGTCCCGCATCACCACAAGTCAAGTGAAGTGGAGCAATCTGAAACGAAACAGTAATTTTACAGCAGAATCAAGATAGTGGTATACGACAGACTTATTGTTAGTGTAATTATACATAACAAGAAAGACTGCCTAGATTTTGGGGAACACCGTAACGCCGTTGCCGGTTTAATTTGACCTGACACATTTACTCATGTCCCAAGTTTGTCAATGCAATGACTTGTTTGTGCAGGTGTGGCTCGCATGTTCCTGGATGCTATGTTCCGCAGTTGGGCGGCAATCCGATGATGTTTTTGGTTGAACGTATAGATCTATCAGTCTATCAGTGACCAATTCCAGACTTGCAACTGACCACTTGTTGCGTAGCCTCTCGTTAGCCACCGCAACGATGTCTTTGAGGCTGGGAACTGCGGCAACGTCGCCCTGGCCGACAAGAGTCGCAGGCACGTGGACCTGACAGAAGCGTTTCTTCCGACGAAATCGGCTCAGTTTGGAGCGCTGCAGGCATGGCAAGCCGTGGAGATCCTTCTAACAGCATTGCTTCCTTCTTGGCATGTTCTTGTGGTGGCGTGTTTATTCCAGCTTGAGACTTGAGATGAACAAGTTTGGCAGACATGGGGGTCTTTCCCTGTGTCTCGAGTCATAAAATGTCTTAACATGTCACAACATTCACCACGGTGGAACATGAGGTTACGAACGCAGCGCAGTTCCACTCATTGTGACATATTGTGACAATTGTTGGCAACATAAGGCTAGATGTGACGACTGACGTGGGCTGCAAGCTGGTGCACATCACTGCCGAGGCGCAGCAAACCATCATTTCAGAGATGCGAAACTGTAGCACCAACTTTTGTTGAAAAACCAGGTCAAACCCCAGGGGGGTCTCTGCCTAGTTTTTGTATTTCCCCACCATGTCGCTCTTGAGGGATTGTACTCCCGTGATCGCCGCCCCACTCGTTTAGCCTTGGTCTCCTTCGTTGGCCATCACTAGTAACTAGTAGGTTATGTGTCCTACACTTGCCTCCTTCTCCTCCGCCTTTTTCTCGTCCTCGTTGCTGTTGGCCTCAACGCATTATGCCTTTGCAATTGGTGGGCCGTTGGCTGCAGTGTGGTCCGTGGATTCTCCGTTTTTACTTTTGGCCGTTCTGGCGCGCTCGGGATGTTTGGCGCTCTGGATGGTATGTTCAAACGTTGGAATGTGTTGGAATACATAATTACAATTACTGTAATTACAAATAGTAAAATAGTTTATAAGTTCGTTACAGCTGCATAGCAGATATGGTCGCTGTGAGCGACCAGTTCTGCAGAATCGACTGTGTTTCGAGTGTGTGCTTGTGCATCTTGTGCTTGATTAGCGACGAGGTTGGACGAGAGAGGTCACACTTATTGTATGTGACGATGTCATTTTTTTTTGCTTTTAGTCATCACAGTGGAAGATGTTCTGTGCTTGAGGCCTGAAAGAAAGTTTGCACAGCTGACAGGTAACTTTGACACACCGTTTGCTTCAGTTGCTTGAGAGGGGGGGGGATGACTCGAACTAAAGTCGTGTTTTTTTCTGTTTTTGTTTCTTTTTTGGTGTTAGTTGGTCACTTTTGTGATTTTAAGGTCCCAGTGTCCAATGCTGGGAACATGTGTTCGCTGCAAAAAATGTGCAGCGCTGGGCTGAACTGGGGGGGTGCCTGGAGGCCGTCCGTCAAGCTGAACGTGATTTAGATGCCTTGATCGAGGCACAAGCTGAGGCCCTGCCTCTTGGCATCAATGTCATCGGCATGTCCTGCTGAACCTCATGCTGTTTTTTGGGTTAAAGTTAGTATGACTTAGTTAGTTAAGTTATGCTTTGCTCAGGTGTTCATAATGATTCTTGTGTCGGCTTGGTTGAGGGAGGACCAAAAAGGAGTGTTCAAACTGAGGTTGTCCTATGGGCAAGGCTATGAGGCCTTGAGGGTGGTTGTCCTTTCTAGCCTTGAAGTGGGAGATTATGGACACCCAAGGGCTCGGCGTAACTTGTTTGGAAAAAAAAACATCAAAACTTCTTTCAGTGGATGTCACATGACTTGCGATTGAGTGGTGTTCTCTTGGCGTTCCATTGACATGAAGATGACAGACCAATACAATTAATACAACGATGCACGTCCCTTTGAATAGAACATTGCATCCATATTGCATTGGTCATGAGTTTGTTCATGTTTGTTTTTCGCTTCGATATCAGAATGCCTCTAAGATCCTCTAAGAGTATCTATATAAATGTGTTTAATTTCAGTATGTCGACACTCTTCCAAACTGCTCCAGCATAACCGTTAGACCACAAATAATTGTGTCAGTTCTTTCTTCAATTTTCCACTGAAAGCAACAGACTCGAGATGAAGTTGGGAGGCCACAGCTCGACAGAGATCTGCTGCTGAGTTTATCCGACACAGAGCGCTGGGAGGTGTGTAGCGGCCTCAGTGTGGCAATGGAGAACTAAGGCAATCTTGTTGGTGGCAGCCTGGGATTTTGAGAGTGAATGACACTTCCTTGGTGAATAGATGTGAATAGTATTTGCGTCACCAGATCAGGCGTGTCACTCAACCTTGGAGACCGAAAGATGCTCCGATTGTCAATTGCATTTGTGAGGACCTGATCAACTCCAATTGAGAAAGTATGTTTAAACAACATCTTATTAATTGCTTTGCTTCGGTTGATCCCCACCATGACATTTCAATCATTTGTTTTCATGCCATGGTGAGGAGCATGTTGCCATGGTCGTGAGTTTTGTGGTGCTCAATTTTGCACGTGGGTCCTCGGGCTGTGTGCTGTGGTTGTGTGTTGTGGTTGTGTGTTGTGGTTGTGTGTTGTGGTTGTGTTGTGTGCTGTGGTTGTGTGCTGTGGATGTGTCTTTGTGGTTGTGTGGTGTGTTTGTGATTGTGTCATTGTGCTTGTGGCTGTGTGTTTGTGACTGTATGTTTGTCGATGTGTTTGTGGTTGTGCTGGTGGCTGTGTGTTTGTGACTGTGTGCTTATGATTGTGTTTGTGACTGCGTGTTTGTAGTTGTACTTGTGGTTGTGCTTGTGGCTGTGTGTTTGTGACTGTGTGCTTATGATTGTGCTTGTGGCAGTGTTTGTGACTGCGTGTTTGTAGTTGTGCTTGTGGTTGTGTTTGGGGTTGTGTTTGTGGCTGTGTGTTTGTGATGGAACTCATGGTTTTCCAGCACTCCCGGGTTCAAACAGTTTCCTTTTCCAATAGTCACTTGAAATGTTAGGGGGAAGTGCCCTGCGCAAGCCCAGATCGCGCGTCTCAGTCGCCTCCAGCTGCACACCATGGTAGCTGAAAGTTCCAAAGGATGCTTTGGACCTTGAAGTGAGGGCGATGCTGGCAAGAAGCATTCACGGTGGAATGCGCTTAGGATTGCCAAGGAAAACCCTGCTTGGACCAACACCATGGCGAAGGTTCCACTATAATAAGTTACTTTTAACCAACGAGCTGGTCCACGACAGCGAAGCGAAGATCAACACGAAGCAGAGGTAAAGAGAGGGTGATGATCCAACAAGACCAATGACTTTGAGCTTATTCAATGGGTTCGCAAGTGTTGATTGGACAACTACATTCCCTGCGCATTACATGAAATTGAACAAGGAGATAGTGAGGGTGTGATCTTTGTCCCGCAGCAAGCACAGATTGTGGAGGTGCTTAGCTCAAAGATTTGCAACGCATGCGGCAACAACCCAAACAGCTCCGGAAATTCAAATAGAAAGTCGATGTGCCCGCCGCAAGTACGACAAGCTCGTAATGCCAAAAGCTGCAGTGGACAAAGAGTACTTCTGGTTTTGGACGAATTCTGGACGCAAAAGCAGCAACAATACGTTTTGGCATGCACCTTTCGGATTGGCACGCTAGGTGCGTGATATATTAATCTCTGAAAAGTTGTAAACGTTATATCTGCACCATTGTTCAAGTCCAGTCAATGCCTGATCTCTCTACTACGTGCCACCCTATCAATGGTCAAGGCCTTTACCGGCCATGGTGTGCGCCCCCCACACTGCACTGTGGCTCCCTGTTTTCTTTATGTGTGTGAGGTGGCTCCCTGTTTTCTTTTTTGCGCCAAAGCAATCACTTTTGAATCCGCCCGCCTAACAATGCGGCGCAAAAGACACAAGTGCGTAATCTTTGGCGGGGATTGAAAGCCAACCCTGTTTGGCATCTCAGGACGGGCGCGCAAGCGTTCAGTATGTGAAGGGTGCGCAACAACTTCCGAATTAGCGCGCTTAAGAATGTTGCGAGATTGACAAAGTGACATTGTCTAAGGTCGAATGAAAATAGGCACGTTCTATACCACGCATGCCAAGTGCATCGTAATTACGTTTTTCAAGTGTGTTTACTATCAAAGATTGAAGACCCGAACATACCTGCCTTTTCAAACCTCCGGATCAGACATGTCGTTCCAGACCTCCGGATCAGGAGGTCAATGTATAGGGAGGGAACCGGGTTTCGACCCACCGCCCTATGATGCCCTGCTAGTCTCAGCAACGAATGGCGCCATGGCATCATGTTTGCGAGTTCCACGCAGCACAAACGCATGCATTGCACACACACACACACATGTATTACTACGCATGTTGCAATTAGTCAAAGCACGAGAACATCAGGCATCAGGGTGGTAAAAGGACAGTTGTAGGTGTCAGACAGCCTCAATTCTCTCGGTCATAAGTCCATGTTTAAGATTGCATGTCAATGTAATGACCAAACTCAAACTGTGTAATGATTTGTTCTGATAGCACCTCAGTGAAACAATGGGATTGACTTGTTGTCACATTTGCGTTGCTTGGTCTTGCACCTAGGCAGACCTCTGGAGGCTTGGGGATCCAACTCCGCATGGAACATGCAAATGCATCAGAGACAATGCTCTGCTATTGCACCACGTGTTGCAGATGCATACAAATGATTACAAATGTATGGTGCAGACAGGATGAGGCTGGTGCGGGGGTGTAGCATGTTGGAACCCTATAACAACACCCTTTGCAGTAAAGAAATACTACAGAGGTGGGATTTGGTCCTGGCCCACTAGTGCGTTGGCAGGGGCTCTTCTGATTGCCCAGGCGGCGATGCCAAGAAGTCTGACTTTGCGATGAACGATTTGGACGCAGCGATCGAGTCTTTAGATCAGACGATCCGTGGCTATGACCAGGTGGATCGGGACTGGGGAGGCCTGTGGGGGTCTTCGGGTTGTTTAAATGCCCTTTGCGGGGCAGTGTGGGGTTGTTTCGCAGGAAAAAACATTAAAACACACATGTTAAGAATTGTAAAGCTTAATAAACAGGAAGGAATTTTTGCGGTGGCATTTGTAGATCTTCAAGATTCGTTAAATTTTTAACTACTATAGGATCATTAATCAAACAGGTTCAATCACCAAATGAAATTTGCCGAGTCTGCATTTGTCAGTGATAGCATGCAAGAAATCCAAGCAGTGCCCAGCACGCAGAAATCCAAGCAGCTCACGTGTCCGCTCACTACGCTTTCCAGGAGGGCTACACTTTAGTTTGTCCTCGGCTGGCTTGATTCTCAGAGACCGCTGCACATTTTTAGAGACCGCCTCGAACCGGCTCCGCGCAGCATTGAAGTTTACGCTATACACAGATCCACACAATTTGTGTAGCTTCGCACAGGCTTTGTGTACGGCAATTGCCTTTGCCTAGCCCACTCTGTAAAGATTCAAGATGTAGTTTGCATAGGCTTGATTGCTGCCGCGGAGGATTTGCATTTGCTGCCACCCAGTCCGCGTAGTCTAGCGTAGCCTATGAGACTAGCCCGCAAGCCAAGAAAAGCGTACATGGTATCTTCGGACTCTTACTGAAGAGTCTGAGCAGCTCTTTGTGTGAAACACAAAACATCGCAAAACCCCGATCGGACTGATGGAACCTTCACGAGAACGTTCCGCCGCGTGATCCGCCGGAGAGACATCTCAAAAGGGATGTTGTGCCATGTCGTCATGATCCGTTCATATCAACTGTTCATTTGCTAGCGACTGGATGATCGGCTGAATTGAATGCTATTTCTTGTTTCTTGCTATTAACGATGTTCATCCCAGGCCAATTTTTCACATCTTTGTTTTGCAGCTTAGCTGTCTATAGGATGACATAGCCGCTATGGCTCTGTAGGTAGGTGGCTTGTAGAAAGACGGTCTTTGTTTATTTAATTTGGCCATGCAAAAAGCCTGCTCAGGTCGGCTTCCGATGCATGCGGAGGACTGGAGAAACCGTCCGTTTGTGGTGTGTTCCAAAGAGGCAGCTAAGCAGAGGCTTTTGTCCTTTTGATTTTGCTTTTTCAGACATGGTGATGCAGATGCATGTAGTTTCTGTTCCCGCATGTACTTTCAACGTTCCGATTCGCTAGCTATGAGTGTGCGTTCATCATAGTGTTTCTAGGCGGTACACTATACAGTTGAAAAATAACGCTCTAGAGTATTTATTTGAAGTACCGTGAGGGGGAGGGGGTTGTTTCTTGTTTGCAAGTGTACGATCAACACCAGGATGGATTTGCCTTACGAGCACTGGTGGGCAGAGATGCTCAGATGATCGCTGAGACAGGGCAAACGCTGACACAGGGCAAGCTTGAAACTGTGTCGTTCGCTGTGCTTGTCATACTCTTTTACGGAAGGGAGTGTTGGCAGAGTCTGTCGACACTCAAGCAAGGTCAGCGCGGTCACTGTGTGCTTCCATGTTTCTATATTTTTCTTGGTTGTTTTATTGTCAAGCAGTCCTCCAGACTTCAAGATGCTTTTGATCTTAAATATTGCAAGTACTGTATGATTCCATATATGTAAACTTTGTCAACAATTACATGGCAGCATGCGCATGATCAGATAGCGTCGGTCTCATCATATGTTTTTCTCTTGAACGTTCCTCCTCCTCCTGCTTTTTGCCCTTCCACATAATCCAATGTGAGTAGACACGATGCTGTTCACTTGCTGGCGTGTGTTTGCAGCTGAGTTGCACTTCACTTGCTGTTTGTATCAAGTAGTACTGTGGACCTTTGGAAACTGAAGAGGCGAGCAAAGCTGTCCATCAGAAGAACAAGCATGTTACAGTGTATATATATATAGTTCTTTTGATGGAAGCTCATCAATAGTGGTCAAAAGGTCAAAAACATAACGAAGAAGACCATCACACACACACACCGAAAGAAGACGATCGCACCCAAACCAACGATCCAAGAGATTCACATGCCATACCATCGAGAAGTTCATCCGTTTGGGCTGCACGAACGCCATATGTGGCCGAAGTCTTCTCAGGTCCGCCTGGATGGACCTGTGATCAGCCGTCCTGTCACGCGTGCGGCCTTGCGCACCTGAGTGGAGAGTGGAGAGTCTGGTCATGCTTGGAGTCCGGTCATGATGGGTCGAGACGGGTCATCCAACTTAGGGAAAGGGGTCGGAAAGACATGAGAGAGTCTCAAACCCCCGCATGTAAGAGATTAGATGAGATTAGTATTTGCATGTCCGTTTTTCTGGAAGCATGCTCAATCCCCTGTAAAACGATAAGGAAGAAAAACAAAAAAAAGCGATAACCCCCGATGACTCTTGTGGAAAACCCTTGACATGCGAGAAGTGGTGTGAAGAAAACGTTTGCACACACACAAACAGAAAACCTACTCCTGTTCCAAATTGTCAGGGTCAATGCATCACTGCTCTTGGTGGGTATGTGCTTGGACAGAGGTGGAAGGGCTTGGACCGCTGTAGCCTTGTGCTACAGCATTGTTGTGCCACATGGTTTTCCAACTTGCACCAGGCATGAAAACGATAACAAAAACGATAACACAGCGAGCCTAAAACACCTTTGAGGGCGGGCCACCACATCAGTGTAGTTGGAATGAAGTGTGCCTAATGTCTTCGTGCCTGCAAGGTTCCACACACCACATGCATGTAGTGCACACACTACAGGTTACATTTGTTGCAATTAGTCAAAGTGCTGGACAACGATAAGGAAGAAAAACAACGATAACATCAAAAGTTGTGGGTTTGTTTTGCACATCCTCACATGGCAGTGTTTTTTTTTTACAGGTGACACGTGTTTGATATTATTGGATGTTATATGATGTTATATGCCCTGTATCTTCTCAGCAACGAGAAAGTCTTGCTCAGCAGTTTCTTCTCATTCTTGCTAATTCAGTTTCTGCCCACCAAACAAAGAGCCTAGGAACAATGCGCATGCTGATCTACCGCCGTTGCGGTCCATGTTCCGCCCGACATGCGCAGCAAGCATCGGAACACCAGGAACCGATGAAAACGAACTGTCGCTCCACCTTGGTGCCTCTTTTTGACTTGGACGCTCAGTTTCGAGTCGCGAGTGGCTCTTTGGGGGATAACAGAGAACAATGAATAATGTCGAATCGCGTAGATTGTGATCAGGAGAGAGCACATGTACTTTTAGGGACCACAGCGACCATGCGTGAGATCTCCAAATAATCCGCCAAAATTAAAACATGCTAACACTACTTTCGAAATGTTTGACTTGGAATGGACCTCAACGTGCTTGGTTTGCTCTCACGGAGGTGCTTTGGCACCGTTGGTGTTCTTGGAATACTTAATTGTGCTTCCAAGACGCACCTCAAACGGCTTGTTTTTGTTGTGTCCTTGACCTCCCAAATACTTTGGTGCATTCTCTCACAAGTAGGTATATAGCAGTGTAGCCTGCAAAGGCAAACCGATGATCATGTGTCAAGCTGACAATCACCCGGACTCTCATCTCAAAGCTATCACATGGCACGCCTCTTGCGCGGGGTTGTCTCACCAGTTTGTTGGTGGACCGCATGAGGGCAGCATGTGAACATATGTGAAGATGCTTGCGTCGGAGCGGGGAGCGGGATGATTTTTTGAAATCTTGTGAACCTGTGTCTGAAACTTAAAGAAGAGCAATTGTCAAGACGTGTCTGGGTAGGAATATGGCTTGACATGGAAGGACATGATGTCAACGTTGCCAAAAATCCACAAAAGTGGTTCCCACTGCGTGTGCTGCATTCTTTGTATTTGCTTACACAAATCCGCCGTTTTGGCCACTGATGAAGTTGTCCTGAAACAACGTCATGTTTCGCACGCTCCCGTGCTTTCCCCACCGATGCATCAAGGACACGTGAAAGAACATTGAACGATCAGGGCATTTTGTTTGACTTGAAATGCACCGGCAAGTGGTGTTTAAGCATGGGGTGTTGCTTGTATCGCTTCCACGGTTTCTTGGAAGTGCCTGTGGCCCATGAATGTTGGATAGCTGGCAAACCAGACCTTTTGGCCGTGTTTGGCAATGAAAAAATCCAGCATTGGGAAAAGCAGGTACTTTGTACATAGATGCATGGCATTGTCTTGACGTGTCTGCAAACATGTGTTCAAACTACACATGTCCTCATAACAACAGTGTAAGTTTCATAGTAGTATAGAGTTCAATTTTGTTCGGTTATTGTTGGCCTGTGGCCTGTGAGCCTTTGTTGGTGGGGGAACACAGCTTGCAGACACAGAAGGCGAAGCCTTGCGGAATTAATTTTGTCCAGCAGAATGTCAAGGGTTCCAAACAAATGCGTGTTCGCATTCATGGTTTTCATGTTTGTCTTTTTCAGAGTTCTAGCTTCCTGCCTCTTTGGAACTTAGATCAGGCATTGAGCTCCATGGATTGTTTTGTCTACAGCCGGCTCAAAGTTCTGTTTGCGTTTGGCCAAGAGAGGATTTGAATCATGATTGAAAAACAAATGTTCTGAGTGAGCATGACACTGGAGCATCATCAAGTGTTAGCTGACCTGGATTTAGGGCAGTGGCAGTGAATCAAAACATCGAACCGATGATATCGTTCTCAAAATTCCAAAATAACCATCGCAGGCACAACATCACCGGCACACAAAGCTGTTATTTCTGGTCATATTGCTCCGTTTGTTTCCGAGGAATCCACTGAATCCACCGATTCACCTCTTTTTTTGCCCAAGATGCCATGGCCAACACGCCGGAACTCGAATCGGTGTTGAGCCGAAGGCGAGAAGAAGTTGAAGCGAGAGGTGCCTTTTACACCAAGGATCGGTGTGGGCGTGCTGATGCGGTGGCCCGGCGAATGAGAAGGTCAAGGGTTCCTTTAAGGCATGGGTATTAGCGAGTAATTATTTTTCAAAACGGTCGGAGTCTTGAGATGCACAGCCGACCAGTGTATTTATTTTTGGACACTCTGGTGCTGACACATTTGTGGCATGTTGTGAAAAGAGGGGCGGAGATCTGGAAGACGGGGCAACAGGCCGAAAACGACAGGAGGAAATAAAGAAGGACATGCATAAAATACTTTACTTCGAGTGATCCCCACCATGACATTTCGATCTGACAAATTTTCTGGCATGTATCGAAACACTATTTCGGAATTCTTTCTGGCATATCTTCTGACATCTTCTGATATTATTTATGCTATATGTTTTGACATTCTTTCTAGCATATCTTTTGACATTCTTTCATTTGATATTCATTCTGGCATTCTATCTTGCATACCTGCTGACAGTCTTTCTGACATTAGCCGAAGCTCGCGGTTGAGGTCCGGCGGCGAACGCTGCCAGCCGAAGCTCGGGGTTGAAGTCCGGCGGGGAACACTGCCCGCCGAAGCTCGCGCCATCCGGAGCTGGCGGCTGAGGACATTTTCCAGACCTGCTACCTACCTAATAATTTGTAACATGTAAGTTACATTGTTCAATGAAAGGCTCTTGGAAAGTGAGCTTACATTTTCCCAAGTCTCTCCCTCACTAGGGGTAGGGATGGAGGTTGGGCATACCAGAACCACTAAGCAAAGTGCAAAAGTGATGCAATACCCAGCTGACCGCCTGACAGCTCCCCAACCATAAAGCTCGTCGCCTTTGCTGCTTCAACGATCAAAAACCTCATGTCATGGACCTGCGACCTGCGCAATGCACATCTGAGCCTGAGTGGGGAACTCACTGACAGATCATGTAGACACATGTAGAGACAGGTTTGCTGCTATGTTGGAGGGCGTGGCTAGTAGGTTGGAGGCCATTCCTTCTAGGTTGGAGGCCATTGCATGCATGAACCCCTGCCCAGTGTTGGGGGGCCACAGCTCCAAGTTGTGGAGAAGCAGCGGCAGGTTTTGTTTGGCGGGGAAAGGCCCTCGACATGCTTTAGGCCATTGCACGCTGACTTTCTTTCAACTCTGGGTGGTGAAATTTCGTTGACTTTTACACTTATTTTTGTCAGCTGCCCTCTCCTCCTCCGAACCTCAACCGCCAGCTCCGGATGGTAGTGTTCTCCGCCGGACTTCAACCGCCAGCTCCAGCCGGACCTCAACCGCGAGCTCCGGCTGGCAGTGTTGCCCGCCGGACCTCAACCGCGAGGGTCGCGTGGCTGTGTTCCCCGCCGAACCCCAACCACGAGTTGTGCCAAATAGAATGCCAGAATGATTGTCAGAAGAGATGCCAGAAAGTGCTAGAAAATTTGCCAGAAAAATGTCAGAAGATACGCCAGAAAGATTGCCAGAAAATATGCCAAAAAAAATGCAAGAAGATATGCCAGAAAAAATGTCAGCAGATATGCCAACAAAAATGTCAGGAGGCTTGCCAGAATGAATGTCAGAAGAGATGCCAGAAAGAATATCAGAAAATATGCCAGATAGAATGTCCGAAGGTATGCCAAAAATATCAAAAGTAACATCAGAAGATGTGCCAGAAAGAGTGCCAAAATAATGTTTCAGTTTCAATACACGCCAAAAAAATGTCAGATTGAAGTGTCATGGTGGGGAGCACTCGAAGTAAAGTAGTTTAATCTCATTAAGGTTTGCTTGAGCCCCCGGCCCCCGGGAATATTTTTAGATCCTGATAATATTTATATGGCGATCCGGTTGCCTTCCTTTGAGGTGCCCTCCATTTTTCCCCTTGTGGTTTTCTTTTGACTTGGGCATTCGGCATTTGGCTACAAAATTCGTCAATGACCGCTTTGTTTTTGGCATGGGGGATGCCCTGGCTTGGTGTAATTGTAACGCGTTATATAGATTTATATGTACACTGCATACGTGCGGCGTACTGGCTGAAACATAAATTGTGCAGCAATCCAACTGTGCCTGATAATGCCTGATATGAGATATGTGTGAAAAGAACTCTAAAATGATCCTTGCATGTATTGCAACCTGGATGCATCAATCCCAGACGCCTCGTTTTCGAGCCTGCCAAGGTTTGGTATGAGCGCACCGAAGGGCAGTTCAGCCCTCGCCACTCGGACAGACCCGTCTCCCGCTTGGCGAGTGCATCACCTTTCCCTGAGCGAGACGAGCCAGCGGAGGCACCGCGACAGCGCCCCCACTTGGTACGGAGGCGATCCGCACCCAAGCAACATCCTGAACCCGATCGCGTGAGGCGGAGCTTTCCCAGGCGTGTGTCCACCGGCACCGCTCTGAAGGCACCGGTGCGTCCCATGAATTCACGCAACACATCGCCAATGGCATCTTCTGCACGATCCCTGGCGACACCCGAGCGCACACGAGCTGCGGCGAGTGAGGAGGCGGCCCAGTGCGATTGACATTGATCAAGACAAAATAGTGATCAAGGGTGTACTGGTCGATGTTCACAAACCATTCTCCGTGTCCAATCAAATGAGTTAGGGGGTCACGGACAAGTAAAGACATTTGTGCATACGTGTGCAGATCATACAGAATCGAGGTTCAGGTTTTGTAGTTCTGTCACAGAGATAATGGACTGACGAGGATAGATTCTCATTTGACTCAGGGGTCACATGCAGCAACTGCGACGACTGGGCACACCAGATGCAGCGTTGACGCAGACTTGAAGGATGTGAAGGATGTGAAGGCCTGTAGTGCGTTTGCTTTTTAACAAATTCAACTTGAGGATTCTAGATAGCATATTCCTGAAACAACAAAAAGATGTGTGAGCATGAATGCTTGTATCAACTGCTACAAACGGAGTGAACTGTGAACACATAAAAGCTGGAACACTTTGTGCATCTGGTTAGTTACTGTTGACTGAGTCGCCTGCGGCAAAACGCTCAGAGAGCAGCTCCTCAGCAGGATTGCCCAGCCGTCAATGAAACCTGCGGCACGCACGCAGCGGACTTCAAAGAAGCATGCTAAAGCTATCCAAAGCTAATATCAGATATTCTGTAATTGTGTTCATTAAATATAGCTTGATTTATAGGGGTCAACATTTCCTGCATAAAATGAGTGGCCTTAGGGCCGGTACAAAACGTTTTTTTTAGTCCCCTAAAGTGACGATGAGGCCCTCATTTTATAGTAAAACCCGATTTTTGACGATGTAGCCCTCATTTTGTAGAGATTTCGTTTTGATGGTTAAATGCATGGGCTATTATTTTGTACAGATGCATGTTTTGATCTTGTATTTTCATAGACAAAGCCAGCCAACCAATTTGTAGAGAAGGATCGGATGGGCCCAAGGGGTGTCGAGGAATTCAACATAGAATTTTTGTACAGGTTTGTTGTGTGTCGATCATTGATTTCGTACAGCTACTCAAAAAAATGTATAAAGATGAAATCCTGCCATTTTGTAAAGTACGAGGGACGTGTCATTCGGAGCCATTTGTGGCTCAAAGATTGGTGTGCAAGCCGTGGCCATGTTACCACCCCATGGATTTCCAACACTATGTGGTGTGGGGACATGTACTGAAGAAGTACCGTGTCCAGAGTGGTGCGCAGAGCGTGGTGTATGGCGCCACTTGGAGGGTTCATCAAAGAAAAGAGAACAATCAGAGACTTGATCGTTTCTTCATGTTCTTTCGTTCACACTCTTAATCTCTCTTAATAGATCTGTCACTGAGTTTCGCGATGCAATATGGGCGCAAGTAGTCGGAGGAAATCGCATCATCATGTCTACTTCGACCAGTGCCCTGATTCGCATTCAAACTGTGCATGTATGCATAAAAATGCATAAATACAAATGCAGGAGTAGGTGCATACCACTGAGACAGACAGGTCGCTCACCTCATGGAGGTGGACAACTGTCATCAGCAAGGCCAAACCAAAGTTGGACACTCCGATTCCTAAGCCTCCTCCGCAGGAGACATGGCTTTGCATTTTGTAGAGATATTGTATGTATTGGACAATATGTATATATATGTACGTATACACATTTACATATATTTCCATTAGTACTTGTCCTACAAAGTGGAGGGTGCTGAGAAAAAGGAAACACACTTGAAGGTAGTATTTTCTTTTTGGAATGTGTTTCATTGCGTCCCGTTTTTGTAGAGATGAACGTTTGAGAGAGGAGTGTCACTGGGGCTGTTTTTTTTTAGATCTTGCTAATCGGCGAGGACTCTATGGAGGAGGCTGGGAAAGTAATGCGCTGACATTTTGTAGGTGTGAA